CTGCCTGGCCTCTTCTCCCTTCCTTTCCCCTCCCCTCCCCTCTCCATCTGACCTAGGAATACCCCAGAGATTCAACAGAAAAGCTTCTTTGGGACAAGAAAATTGCACTTGTGGGGAAAGCTGTCATTTCTAAATGCACCTTTTCTGCTGCTGATAAAAACCAAGAAGCTGGTTTACAAAAGAGGGGGGGGGGAACTGGCTGGGAGGCAGAGAGCTGATACGTGCAACCCTGCCTCAAACTCATCTATCAAAGCAGTGATGATTAGACTATGCAACACCTTGTGGTATCTCACACTCCGCTTAAATCCTACACCATAAAAAAAAAAAGTCAACAAGTTTATCTTTGGATGTGCAAGACTGTGGCCAGCTCACTGGATCACTTTGTCCTGACCACATTGTTCCCCCAAGGAGAGCCGGCTGCATTTGACACAATAGCCCATTCGGCTTTATCCATCGTTTGGAGACAAATTCCTAAGAAGGAAATCTCCTTTCTACTACTCTGCAAGGTAGGAAAAGAAATAGGAAAAAGGACAGGGAGAAAAGGACAGCTTCCAAAGTTAAACAATCTCTAAGTTCCAAGAATTGAATTGAGGGTCAGTTTGATGTACAGGTAATCCTCGACTTAACAACAGTTCATTTAAATGTAACTTGGAAGTTACAACGGCACTGAAAAACGTCACTTATAGCTATTTTTCACACTTATGACCATTGCAGCATTCCCCTGATCAAAATTCAGACTGTTGGCAACTGGCTCATATTTATTTTTATTTATTATTATTTTTTAATTTTTTTTATTAATAATACAAAATTAAAAACACATTGGACATAGATATGACATCATTGGTTCCATACATCTTCCGACATTTTACAGTAGTATTAGTATTCATATAGACATATAGTTCTTGAGCTTTGCTCACTATTTATAATATAATATTAACACTTTTCCCCTTATTTCTGTATATCTATTTATCTTTTAAATATACATTTGTCTATAATCTGTATTTTATTCTAACACTGTACATTTGTCTTGGCTACCCTCTTATTGTCTATCCAATCATAAAATTGTTCCCAGATTTTGTAGTACTTAGTTTCACTTTTATCCTTGAGTTCCCATGTAAGTCTATCCATTTCAGCGCAATTGAAAATTTTCAGTAATATTTCCTCTTCGGTTGGAGTATTTTTCTCTTTCCATTTTTGAGCAAAGGCTATTCGTGCCGCTGTTACTATATGCAGTAGTAAATAATTTGTATCTTTCTTATATTTTCTTTCTATAATTCCCAATAAAAAAAATTCCGGTTTGGCCTCTATATCTATTAGCAAAATTTCTTCCAGCCATTTCTTTAATAAGTTCCAAAATTTTTGTGCCTTTGGGCATTGCCACCACATGTGGTAGTAATTCCCAATGGTCTCTCCACACTTCCAGTATATCGAGGATTTCCTCTTGTTCATTCGTGCTAGTCTTGTGGGAGGGAGGTGCCACCTATAAAACATCTTATAGAGGTTTTCCTTATAGGAGGTTGCTAGAGTAATTTTTAGGTTTTTTCCCATAAACTTTGCCAATTATCCAAATCAATATTGTAACTGGCTCATATTTATGACGGTTGCAGCCTCCTGGGGTCATGTGATCCCCTGCAAACCTCTGACAAAAAGCCAGATTCACCCCAAAACCGTGTTATTGACTTAACAACTGCAGTGATCCTCTTAACAACTGTGGCGAGAAAGGTCATAGAACGGGGCCAGGCTCACTTAACAACTGTCTTGCTTTGAAACAGAAATTTTGGGTGGTCGTAAGTCGGGGACTCCATGTAAAAGCAACTTCGGAGTTTCCTTCACTGAGAAGCATTCCATCTACATGTCTGGAGGGCATTCATCGGAAGAGACTGACAAGGGATCTGTGCCCACACATACGTAGAGGTAGTCCTCCACTTACGACAGTTCATTTAGTGACCGTTCAGAGTTACAACGGCACTGGAAAATGTGACTTATGACCATTTTTCACACTTAACGACCGTTGCAGCATCCCCGCAATCAAAATTTGGACTTTTAGCAACTGGAATGCATTTAAGATGGTCGCAGTGTCCTGGGATCGTGCGATCAACTTTTGCAACCTTCTGACCAGCAACGTCAATGGGAAACCAGATTTACTTAACGACCAGGTTACTAACTTAGCAACTGCAGTGGTTCACTTAACAACGGTGGCAGGAAAAGTCGTAAAATGGGGCAAAACTGACTTAACAAATGTCTCGCTTAACAACAGATATTTGGGGCTCAGTTGTGGTCGTAAATCGAGGACTACCTGTACAACATCCATCCCAACCTCTCAAACTGTAGTGTTACTTACGCCGGAGGATCTCTCTCTGTTTCCGGACATACCACGTATAGAGGGCTGCCCGCTTCTGCGTTTTCATCGGCGTCCCCTTGTTGAGATGCTGGGAAAGGTGCGACTGATTCAGTCCAGTGACATCCACCACCTCCCTTTGGGGGATGTTGTGTTGTTGCATGTAGCCCTTGATCATCTTTGCAGCTCGCCAAGGGTCTTCACTAAAAGGAAGGAAAGAGTTGTAGTTAGTGTTTAGTCAAGGAGAGATGTAGAAGGAACAAGACACTGAAGCATGTCAGGCAACTGGAAAACCAGGAGGAGGGGATTGGGGACATGGAAGAGGAACTAAAGTTGCTTCTTCTATTCCTCCATCCATGAAAGTTTGTGTGTGTGTGTATGTGTGTGTGTGTGTATAAAATTATTTGAAAATGACTACAGAGTCGTAGAATCAGAGACAGCCACTTTGGTCTAGTTCGGAGGTCCTCAAACTTGGTCCTTTTATGACTTGTGGACTTCAACTCCCAGAATTCCTCAGCCAGCATATCTGACTGAGGAATTTTGGGAGTTGAAGTCCACAAGTCATAAAAGGGCCAAGTTTGAAGACCCCTGGTCTAGTGGTTAAGACACCAGGTTGGGAACCAGGAGACTCTGAGTTCTAGTCCTACCCTAGCCATGAAAGCCTGCCAGGTAATCCTGGGCCAATCACCAGGAGACGGTGAGTTCTAGTTCTACTTTAGCACCTTGGAAAGAGAGCAGAGAAGAGCAACAAAGATGATTAGGGGACTGGAGGCCAAAACATATAAAGAACGGTTGCTGGAGTTGGGTATGTCTAGTCTAGTGAAAAGAAGGACTAGGGGTGACATGATAGCCATTTTCCAATATTTGAAGGGCTGCTACAGAGAGGAGAGGGTCAGCCTATTCACCAAAGCACCTGAAGGGAGGACAAGAAGCAATGAATGGAAAGTAATCAAGGAGAGAACTAAGGAAAAAATTCCTGACAGTCAGAACAATTAATAAGTGGAACGACTTGCCTCCAGAAGTTGTGGGTGCTCCATCACTGGACGTTTTTAAGAAGAGACTAGACAACCATTTGTCTGAAATGCTATAGGGCAGTGGTGGTGAACCTATGGTACGCGTGCCAGAGGCGGCACTCGGAGCCCTCTCTGTGGGCATACGTGCCGTTGCTCCAGTCTCACCTCCCCCCGCGACCTCCTCCTCACCAGCAGCCCCCCTGGAGGAGAGTCGCCCCCTAGCGTGGCCCACGCGGACCAGCGCAGCCAAGGACATGGCAGCCAGGCAGTGTAGACAAGAGTCTGCCCTCACACCCCATCGTGCACAGTTGATGCTGTGGGGCACGGGCAGAGGGCGTGGCCGCAATGGCACTGCTGGCTGCCTGGGCGATCTGCGGTGGGCCCTGGAAGCAGTGAGTGGCCCTGAGGGCAGGTGGGGTGGGGCGGGGTAGGGGGTGGAGCAGGGGTGGGGCCAGTTTTTGTGCACTCGGTCTCTAAAAGGTTCGCCATCACTGCTATAGGGTTTTGGGCTTGTGCAGAGGGTTGGATTAGAAGACCTCCAAGGTCCCTTCAAATTCAGTTACTCTGTTATTCTTAGCGATAAAAGCTAGTTGGGTGACTTTGGGCCAGTCCCTCTTGCTCTCAGCCCAACCCACCTCATAGGATTGTTGTTGTGGGGAAAATAAGAGGAAGAAGGTCTGTTGGATATGTTCACCTTGAGTTATTTGTAAATACATAAATACATAAAAATAAAGGCAGAATACAAATGAATAAATATGGCTGGAAGGGACCTTGGAGGTCCTCTAATCTAACCCCTGCTCAGGGCAGAAGACCAGGCAAATTGTGGTCCAATCTTTTCTGAAAAGCCTCCAGTGATGGAGCACCCACAACTTCTGGAGGCAGGTCGTTCCACTGATTAATTGGAAATTCCACCTTAATTCCAGACTGGATCTCTGTTTAACAAGCTTCTACCCACTGTTTCTTGTCCTGTCTGCAGGTGCTCAGGATAATAAATTATGAGGGCCTTGGAATAAAATTACTTACAACCTGTACTTGCACTTAAAACTCTGGCACCACCCCCACAGTCATGGGATTGCAAGCCAGACAATTGGCAACCAGCTCACATTTTATGACTGCTTGCAGCAGCCTGTGGTCACATGATTGCAATTTGCAACCTGGTTTCCAGAAAAAAAAATCCATTTGGGAAGCTGGATTTGCTTAACAACCGTATTATTTGCCTAACCATCATGCAATAAATTGTTGTAAAATCAGATCCAACTGATTGCATGCAAAAACTTACAACAGAAATAATAGTCCCCGTTGTAGGAGATTACCTGTATAATGGAAGTTCATGGACAAAATCTATGTATGTCTAGATCTACTAAATCTGCTAATCTACTAAATCTAATTCTATTACATCTACTAAAATCTACAAAGATCTAGATCTTACTATTACTATGAATAATACTAGATCTAGGATCTAGCTCTATTAAAAACTGCTAAGAGTCGATACCAACTTGATGGTGCATAATCCATCAGTGATGGAATCCACCATGAAGGACAAATTTATAATCTGCAAACTCGGGGCACTAAAAGACAAAGTAAACCAAGAATTCATTTGATAGTAGTGGTTGTCTTCGGCTAATCAAACTAGACTTCGTGCAGTGTGCAGGTCCTATTACAAAGTCATTTGGGTATTAAATTTTGTATCATTAATTATAGCACTACATGGATAAATGGTTTTAGATTTATGTCTCTAATTAAATTGAATATTGGTAAATTTTTATTAAATTAAATAATTTAATTTAATTTTAATTAAATACTTAATCAATTTTTATCCAACAAGATGATAGGCCACCCAACTCCATCATGGCTCTGTGTTGAGTACAGCACGAAAGAATAAAAATAAAATAATATAAAGCCAGGGAGGGAGGGAGGGAGGGAGGGAGGGAGGGAAGGAAGGAAGGAAGGAAGGAAGGAAGGAAGGAAGGAAGGAAGGAAGGAAGGAAGGAAGGAAGGAAGGAAGGACATAGGAGGGGAACTGTAGGAGTGAGGAAGGCAGGAAGGGAGGCGAAGAGAAATGAAGGAGAAATAAAAGGGAAGAAAGATAAAGGAAAGGAAAGGGGAAAGGAGAAAGGAAAAAGGAAAGAGGAAAGGAAAGGAAACCCAAATACCACACATACATCAATACTAAAAACCAACAACAGAATTTTATATTTGCAGCTTTTATTGAAATGCCTTAAAGTGAAGGCAAAGAGGCAAACATGCCTCCATCTCTGAGCAGGGGGACTAGAGCAGAGGTCCACAACCTTTTGGGCACCAGGGACCGGTTCTATGGAGAGAGGTTTTCCCATGGACCAGAGGGGGCGTGGTTTTGTGTGCTGCCTGCATCCCGTGGATGGGGCTTTGCTTGTTTATGCAGACCAGTTGCTGGCATGCTGCAACCTGGTACCGGTCCACGGACCGGGGGTTGGGGACCCCAGGACTAGAGCACAGGTGGGCAAGCTGTATCTGGAGGCCTCCTGTGACCCCAACCATCACTTTCAGCATCCCTGAAGCAACCCCACCTTTTCTATTTTTCCCTTTTGGTGTGGGGAGCCACGTGGATCAAGAGCCAAAAAGGAAATGTTTAAGGCTGTAATTTCATACTGCCATTTCTCTCTCTTTCTCTAACCACCCCAAAATTTAGTCCTACTTCCTCCATTAATGTCACAATTTCTGTGATTCATCACTTGACTGACACTCTAGGAGGAGAGCCTTTGTAGTCTATGGTGGCAAAGAAATCAAGGGGTGTCTGATAGGTAGCCCCTTTTCTGAATAATACATTTTATTAAAAGCATAAACTTCCATGCGCTCAGGTAATACTGGGCACTATTTGATTTTTGACTTCACTGAAGCTTTCTGAAGCAAAATACTACCTAAATATCTCTGTCTGTCCATCCGTCCATCCGTCCGTCCATCCATCCATCCATCGAAAGTATCTATTAACAGTCCATTTATCCATCTATCTAATTTATCTTCTATCAATCAACAGTATCATCTATCCATCTCTCTCTCTTTCTCTCTCTTTCAAATTTATTTGCTTCTTATCTCACCCTGGGGTTACTCTAGGCAGCTTATAACAATAAAAAGGAAAAAATGAAAAGAATGTGAACAGAAGTAAGCTAATAGAACAATAAAAATCAATGAAAAAGAACACAATATCTATAAATCCGTCATCTCCCAAAAGTATCTATTATCTATCCATCCATCCATCCATCCATCATCAACAGTATCTATCTATCTATCTATCTATCTATCTATCTATCTATCTATCTATCTATCTATCTATCTATCTATCTATCTATCTATCATCTATCTCCCAAACTTTCTAAGCATTGTTCTTAGTTAAATAAGAGGCAGCAACTCTTAACTATTTACTCCCAGTATCTGTCTTGCCATATAAGAATTAACTCAATTAACGCTCTGGCATCGTTTGTCACCTCCCACTCCCTCTCCCCAAAACAAGCAAACAAAATCTCCTGTCACAATGGATGTATTAGTCACTGATAGAAACACAACATTCTTGTGTTGCTGTTGTTGCCACATATTAGTATGTCTGCTCCTCGCTCAGCCATGTGTGGGCTCAGAGAGGAGATGGGAAGAAATGACAGGCCAGGTCCCCTCTGAGCACAAAACCAGGGTCAACACCTCGTGTGACCCCTGTGGACACAGTTTAGACTGGGGCCTTTTTAAAAAACGCAATGGTTGCCTTTCTTGCATATAGGTAGTCAGCCCCCCAACTTACAACAGTTCATTTGCAGTAGTCCTCGACTTACAACAGTTGGCTTAGTGCAGAGGTAGGCAACCTCGGCTCTTTTATGACTCATGGACTTCAACTCCCAGAATTCCTGAGCGAGCATGGCTCAGCTTGGAAACCTCTCCCTTTCCCCTCAGCATAGCTGACTCAGGAATTCTGGGAGTTGAAGTCCATGAATCATAAAAGAGCCGAGGTTGCCTATCCCTGGCTTAGTGACTGTTCGAAGCTACAACAAAACTGGAAAAAAGTGACTTATGACCATTTTTTACACTTATGACCGTTGCAGCATCCCCGTGATCACGTGATCAAAATTCAGGCGCTTGGCAACTGACTCACATTTTTGATGGTTGCAGTGTCCCGGAGTCACATGATCCCCTTTTGCCACGTTCTGCCAAGCAAAGTCAGATTCACT